AGCTACTCCCTGCTTAGGTGCAGCAGTGTAGTCACAGCTTGTTTTGTTTATACATCCAGTTCACCAATTGGTGCTAAAGTCAGGTGACAAACTTGGTTATGCGAACTAGCCCTTAGGTTGCAACCATATACCTATTCACCTGGGAGTAAGTCCAGCTGAACTCAGTGGAACACACTTTTGGAACAGGCGTGCGTAAGATTGTGCTGTCAGTTACACCAACAGGAGTTGGTGTATGTTATGTCTTTATTAAAAAATTCTATCTCACCCTTAGCCCTAAGGTCGCATGGCAGATTACAACATCAAATGGCATAAACAGAAATGACAACCATTAGCCACAAATAAATAAAATCTCTAAAACCAGTGAATGCAGCAGACTTCCTCACAATATTTATCTCATTAAAAAAAAACAGTGTAACTGCTGATACTCAAAGGCCCAGCAAAAGCAGAATAAAAAGGTAAGGGTAAAGGACCCCGGGCAGTTAAGTCCAGTCGCGAACGACTCTGGGGTTGCGGTGCTCATCTCGCTTTACTGGCCGAGGGAGCTGATGTTTGCCTGCAGACAGTTTTTCCGGGTCATGTGGCCAGCATGACTGAGCCGCTTCTGGCGAAACCAGAGCAGCACACGGAAACGCTGTTTACCTTCCCGCTGGAGTGGTACCTGTTTATCTACTTGCACTGGCGTGCTTTCAAACTGCTAGGTCAGCAGGAGCTGGGACCAAGCAATGGGAGCTCACCCCGTCGCGGGGATTCAAACCGCCGACCTTCCAATCGGCAAACCCTAGGCTCAGTGGTTTACACCACAGTGCCACCCGCGTCCCCAAAAGCAGAATACCAGAACCCATTCAGCATAGGAGCCTGCCTGATCTCAAGGGGGAGCTCATTTCTGAGCTGAGGTTGTGGCGCATGTCTTCATGTGATGACCCTGAGGGGAATGCAGCATTTTTCTTGCCACACCCCAGACCTTGTGACCCAGACATCACTAACACAGTGTTCTAGAGCTGCTGTTCTACATCATGTGTTACCATAAGTCCAAAATATATACCAACAAAGTCAGAAGATTCTTCCCCGATCTCTGCCCCACAACAGTTGACTGAGAATTTGTTTCCATCAGCTGACATATTAGTAAATGTGATGCCTTTCCTCCCCACAAAGTAATGAGCCTATTTCAGCTCCCACTCAACTGTCTGGAGCTAATGTTTAGCAGTTTTCAGTTTGGCTGCCTTTTCTCTTCTTAAATCATGGCTTGTGTATTGTACTCATAAAATAACTCAAGCCAAGAAATTGCAGAAATCTGAAGAGGCAGAGGTAGTCATTGGGCCACTCCCTTTTAAACAGACAATGGAGGAAAAAACAAGGAATCCCTTGTTGGTTGCCGGATATTCAGATTGCGGTCTCTCTCATAAATGACACGTGACTCCTACTAATTAATGGATAGTGCTTGCTGATTGCAAATAATTGGACAGCGCTCTGTCCTGTTCCCTGTGAAATTAAATTAAATGCATTGCATGTGTATTTTAAAGTAACGTTAGTTAGCTTGACTAAATGAGATTATTTTAATATAATTTTCCAGCTATCCACAATCATCTGAGAAAAAGCCTGGCAACTTGCAAACTAATGTAGAAGTTCTGTCTTTTCCTTCTTATTGGACAAACCAGCAAGACAAGGAGATAGAGGCAGACTGTATAAAACTGGATCACGCTGCACATCTGACACAGCCTAACACAGGAGCAGTGTGTCCCAAAGGGTGGTTTATGCAATCTTGAAAGGGATGGTCTTCCGCTGTTTAGCCCAGGGGGACAAACATTCCTCTCCATTAACTGTTTTGGTTTTAAACAATGCCTGATCCGTCTAAGCAAAGATGAAAGGGAAACATTATTTATGCCTTCCTTAAAGGAAAGACGAAGAAAAAAACACAGCATTGTTCATTGCAACACAGAGAATTCTCACTCTAAACAGGGAAACACTGGAAGAAGTGACAGAAGTTCTTAAACTGATTTTAAAAAAAACAACTTTGTTGGTGAAACTTCTGATTCATTGGGTGGTATTCAACTACGTTTTACTCAGAGTAGCCCTACTGAAATTAATGAGCATGGCTAAGTTACACCCATTAATTTTAACAGGTCTACTCTGGGTAAAACGTAGCTGAATACCATTCACGGGCTTTATCGAGAAACAAGTGGAAGCTATTTACTTCTTCTAAAAAAGAGCAAACCTAGTCAATAGCTCCCTCTATACCTTTCAAAATGATGAAGCACAGAGAATTTTAATAGCATTTGACACCCACAACATCCTAAACGTCACATATTTGTCAATTTGAATCAAATACGAATCAAATACGAGCCACAGGGAAGGTCTTTGAGCATATTACATTCAGTGATGGCTCACAGACCAAGCGTTAACATTTCTCCTTCAACCTACCAGCAAAAAGGAAGCAGCCAGGAGCCTCTGCTGAGTCCCAAGGCGATCTTTTAGGCTTTTGTTTTCCTACCACTTCAGTTGCTTCACGTTAGGCATTTCCCATCTCTGTGTTGCGCCGTCTTCTCTTTTCCTGGAAATAGAGCCCACAAAACGTATGTCCTGATATTTAGCTGCTGAATTACTCTGGCTTTAACAGCTGGAGGTTCCCAGGCTGACCTTTTTTTTTTTGTTGTTGTTAATCATAAATTCATTTTTCAGCTTAAAAAGAAAAAAGTTTAACCCCTTGTTGTCTAGCTCTACAAAGCAAAGTTTGCCTAAAATGCCTCAGTTCAATGCATACAGGACAGCAGCAGCAGCTTATTTGTAAGGAGGAAACTATATAGCTCAGTTGGTTAGAGCGTGGTGCTGATAACACCAAGGTTGTAGGTTCAATCCCTATATGGGACAGCTGCAAATTTCTGTGCTGCAGGGGGGTGGACTAGTCACTAGAGCATGGGTAGGCAAACTAAGGCCCAGGGGCCGGATCTGGCCCAATCGCCTTCTCAATCTGGCCCGTGGACGGTCTGGGAATCAGTGTGTTTTTACATGAGTAGAAGGTGTCCTTTAATTTAAAATGCATCTCTGGGTTATTTGTGGGGCCTGCCTGGTGTTTTTACATGAGTAGAATGTGTGCTTTTATTTAAAATGCATCTCTGGGTTATTTGTGAGGCATAGGAATTCGTTCACACACACACCCAAAAAATAGTCCAGCCCTCCACAAGGTCTGAGGGACAGTGGACCGGCCTCCTGCTGAAAAAGTTTGCTGACCCCTGAAAAAGTTTGCTGACTTTAAAGGAAAACTTGCTAAAAATGATGTATAGATGGCATTTGACGCCAGTAAAATTAGCTAAAATGTATAGGAAAAAAGAAAGAAAATGTTGGAAATGTAAAAAGGCAGATGGGGACTATTTCCATATGTGGTGGACCTGTGATAAGGTAAAAAAATTTTGGGAATCAATTTATAATGAACTCAAAAAAATATTTAGATATACTTTCCCCAAAAGACCGGAAGCGTGTCTATTAGGCTTAATAGGAACAGAAATTAAAATAGAAGATCAAAATCTGTTCATGTATGCTACAGCTGCCGCGAGGACCCTTCTGGCCCAAAGATGGAAAGTACAAGACATACCAACTATTCAGGAGTGGCAGGCGAAGTTGACAGAATATGCAGAACTTGCCAAACTGTCAGGGAGGATCCGGGACCAGAGAGATCAAAGATACCAAAATAACTGGAGTAAATTTATTGAATATTTAAAGAAGAATTGTAAAGAGGTTTTGACACTAGCAGGATTGACATAATACCTCCAATGTATAATAGTACTAATATGAGAATGATGTGCGTGATGGAAAGAGGATAAATATACCAGTTGTGGGGAGGGAGGGGGGTCGCGACTCGGCAGAGTCAAAGGGAATGTATGGTGCTATTACAATTTGTTGGAAAAGAATATGTAAGGAAAACAATAAAAATTCACTTGGGAGAAAAAGTTTGCTGACCCCTGGACTAGAGGATCCTCAGGGTCCAACTCTATGATTCTATTCTATGTACTGGAGAAGGCCTATTCTCTGGAATATAAGAGGACTATTACACACCTTGAAGTGAGGTAAAGCTATGCAGAAGTCACCAGTGTTAGATTTATTCCATTTGCCCAGCCATCTGAGAGAGAATTTGGCATTGCCTGCCTGCCTTCCAAATTTTGCTAATAATTCTGCTTTGTTGTTATCAGTCTCGTGGAGTGCAGTCTTGTGCATTTCTACTCAGGAGGCTAATGCAATTCTAGGCCGCATCAACAAAAGCATAGTGTCCATGTAGTGAGAGATAAAAGGCAAAAACGTCCCCAATAATCAGACCTTTGGCTTTTAACTATCTGTGGCCTTTTAGAAGTGGGTGGGATATTTTAAATTTATTTCTTCCTCCCCCTGCCCTTAGTTTTAATGTGTCTGCGTGGGGTTGCTTGTTTGGTTGGTTGGAAGATGCTTTGGGTTGCCTTGGGCAAGATAAAGCAGCTAATAAATTTAATAAATAATAATATTCATTAGGCAAATGTTCTATCAGCTCAAGGATTTCACCTTGCACAAATGGAGTAATCTCCCACTTTCCTCTCCCTGTGTGCCCCCTAAATCTGTTCTAGGGGTTCTCCTGACCCTTTGGGGCAGATTTCAAGATGGCACAGGGCACATGTTGGGGGAAGAGAAGAGGGAAGTCCTATCATGCTAGTGGAAATAGTTCTGCTTGCACCATTGTTTTGTTGAATAATGCCCTTGATATGTCTTTCTATGGTACAGCACCTGAGAAACCTCTTGAAAACTCAACAAATGAATCACCAAGAGGTTGTACATTCTGGAGCTTGGTCAACATTTCAAGTATCATATTTTTTGCACCACAACACTCACTTTTTTCCTCCTAGAAAGTAAGGGGAAATGTCTGTGCGTGTTATGGAGCGAATGCCTACGGATGGCGGGGGGATCTGCTGCAGTCGTGAGCAGAGGATCCATGGTTCCCCTTCCTTCCCTCCTCCGTGGCTCGCTTTGAAACAGCAAAGCGGGAGAAGAGCCGCTGAGTGGGGAGGAGAGAGGGACAGAGAGCCTGCTTGCTTTAAAGGAGCAAAGCAGGAGAGGAGAGGAGCCGCTTACACTCGTGTAAGCGGCTCCTGTCCGGTTGGCTCCTTTAAAGCAAGCAGGCTCTCTGTCCCTCTCTCCTCCCCACTCAGCTCGCTACATAGCAGCAAAGTTTTTCAGCGAGCTGGGGAGGAGGGAGAGAAGCAGAGCCTGCTTGCTTCTCCTCTTATACCCCTCTTCTGCATTATTAACAGCATCCTTCTCCACCCACCCCACGCGTGCTCCTTGTCCCTTGAGTGCTTTTCCTTCCCTCCCCACTTAAAACGTGGTTACAAAGCACGGATCCACATGGATCCTCAGGATTTTTGCACTGGGTCACCCCAAATTTACCATCAGATCACATAGCATGTCCATGGCTACAGCTTGCACACAAAAAAATCACGCACCCACTGTTGCCTAGGGCCGCAGTGGTGCAAAAACATGGTTACAAAGCATGGATCCACATGGATCCTCAGGATTTTTGCATTGGGCTACCTCAAACTCACCGTCAGATCACATGTCTGTGGCCACAGCATGAACCACAAAATCATACATCCACTGTTTCGTTTAGAATATTTTTTTTCCTTGTTTTCCTCCTCTAAAAACTATGTGTGTGTTATGGTTGGGTGCGTGTTATAGAGCGAAAAATACGCTAATCTGCTTCCAGTGGCCGCAGTCCAAAAATCACTTATTAGCACCTTGTCCTCCTATTGGAGATCTGGACTACTTGGAAAAAATAGTGTTCAGATTCCTGCCAAAGGCCATTACATTTCGTATTCCTCAGGTTGTTTCTTATTGGCATTAATCCAAAATGGTTATTATTCGTCCTCCTTCCTTTGAAGACCCTCCAGTTTAGGACTGATTGAAATGGTTGCATGGGTGGGGTGGGGTGGGGAGGTGTTAATGCCTTGTTTTGGTGGGGCGCCTGTGGCTTTAAGAGCGGCATGAGAGGCAGATCTTCAACAAGCTGATCAATAAAATTAACAACATTGAGGAATTAAATATCAGAGAAAGGAAAATAAATAAGGGGCTGGCAAGGTAGTGTAGGTAGCTTTTCAACATTTCAAACAATTCAAACCAAGCTGATAAAGAAGTTTCACTTTCCATGCTTCAGAATTCACACTTCTCCGAACTTTGCAATGCTGTTCTCAAACCAAGTAATGTGTACAAAAATGCACATACTACTGTCAGTTGAGCATAAAAATGCAGATATTGTTGAAAATAGTATCAAAAATGCATTGTATTAGGCTTTGCAAATGGTGCTTTGCAAATGGTGTATATTAGGCAAAATTACATATTTTGTATGTGTATATTAGGAGAAATATGATTAAAATGCTGGTGATATTTCATGAGGACTTACCAATGAGCACTGACCTTTCATTACAAAAATGTCACGTGGTAAAGCTATGTAGCACAAGGGAAAGTGGTGAATGATAACTCAATTTGGACTCCACCTTAACACACCACTGAGAGAAGGGTGAGCATGCCAAGTCTGAGCAACATGATATTCCATATGGTCAGTGTTTCTGGTCTTGTTCTTGGGCTTCCAATTCCTTGCTTCTTCTGCCTTCTGGTTCATCCTTGGATCTTGTCTGGTCTTGGCTCCTGGCTTGTTCTCCGATCCTGATTGTCATTGTGTCCTGGCTGTTTCCAGGATGCTGCCCAAGCCCTAGACCTGACCCCTAATCCTGGTAGTCCCAAGGAAATTAAGGACTATTCATTCCAGTGTTGAATCCAGAAACCACCAACCACTGGACTCCTAGAGCTGTAAAAGGTAAAGGTAAAGGTACCCCTGCCCGTACGGGCCAGTCTTGACAGACTCTAGGGTTGTGCGCCCATCTCACTTAAGAGGCCGGGGGCCAGCGCTGTCCGGAGACACTTCCAGGTCACGTGGCCAGCATGACAAAGCTGCATCTGGCGAGCCAGCGCAGCACACGGAAACGCCTTTTACCTTCCCGCCAGTAAGCAGTCCCTATTTATCTACTTGCACCCGGGGGTGCTTTCGAACTGCTAGGTTGGCAGGCACTGGGACCGAGCAACGGGAGCGCACCCCGCTGCGGGGATTCGAACTGCCGACCTTTCGATCGGCAAGCGCTAGGCGCTGAGGCTTTTACCCACAGCGCCACCCGCGTCCCGATCCTAGAGCTGTAGCAAAGTAAAAATAATTGCATGAGCAGAATGACTTCCACCTGTACCGTGGAACTTCCCCTCCTCTCTCCCCCACCCCATGTGTCCCTAATTTCCCACAATTCTCTGGACCAGATCTAGAAGGAGCAGGGGGAAGGTACACAGGGGGAGATGAAGGAAGGAAGTTCCATTGCACGAGTGGAAGTTGTTGGACACAGACCCTGCGTAGGTCTTCATATCCTGCTCTACAATGTGGGCTACAACTCCTGAACAGCTCTCTCAGCTCCTAAAATGAGCAAGTGGGCCCCAGCCCTGGGCAAGACCAGCAGTTCCTCCTCACAGAAGGAGTTAGGTCTCTCTGCGCTCCATAAAAACTAGAGCCGTCTCCTAGTTTTCTGTTGCTGCAGAACTGCATTTTGTCAATTACAGTTCTTCTTGGCCCTAAAGGATTTACATTGGCAACAGAGTGGTGACCACCACACCTGCCCCCCCTTTCCTGTGAATATTCCCTCAGGGTTTTTGTTTAGTTACCCCCTGCCCCATTAACCAGACCAAAACACTCATGCTGACTCTGCATCCAGTAAGCACCCCAAACCATAACACAAAGTAATGAAACGCTAATTTACATTATACATTCCCGTTTGTGCTTTTACAGAACAAAGAACCTGAAAGCCAAAATAACACTGGTAAGTTCCCATCAGCTTTTCCTAGCTTCTTTTCCCCTCCCTGTGTTTCTGCAATCATTATTTAGCATGTTTCACTAGATGGCAGGCTTCTAAGGCCTAATCGGTTCCATATACAGCTGAATGAAGTGGTGAGGTAGACTGTGCCAAGGGAAGATTGCAGTGTTTGGGATTTTTAAGTTTAGAGAAACAGAGAGTCAGAGGTGGCAGCATGATAGACATTTATAACATTATGCATGGCGTGGAGAAAGTAGATAGAGGGGGGAAATCTCTTTTGCAACACTAGAAGTTGTGGACAGCCAACGAAACTGAATGTTGGAAGGTTCAGGACATATAAAAGAAAGAACTTCTTCACACAGCGCATAGTTAAACGATGGCACTCGCTCCCCCAGGAGGCAGTGATGGCCGCCAACTTGGATAGCCTTCAAAGCGGACAAATTCATGGAGGACAAGACTTGATGGGAGGTCTAGTTCATCCTCCAAGGAGTCTGTGTCCAACTCCAGCCCAGTGTTGTTACAATTGGCTTAATGATGGGGCCTTTGGAAGGAATCTGAGTTGGTGCTGTTTGGTTTTTGGATGAGCAGACACAACTCTCCAGACTAGCACTGCCTGACCAGATCTCTTCTACACTCCAAAGTCTCGATAACTTCAAGTAAATGTAAGAACCACAACAACCACTTCTCTGAAGATCCAGAGTGCAGTGTAGTAGAAGTCAGAGTGATGGAAAGACCTTGAAGGGAGGTCAGATAGTTGTGCACAGCAAAAAAAGAAAAGAAAAAAAAAGCCCCACTTCTTGACCTCGCTTTGTTTCATCATATCTCTATCAAATCTCCAAACACCCTTTAAAATAAGCAGGGAACGCTGGGATACTCGGGATTTGCTCAGTTGTCAAATTCCATATAAAACTAAACACAAACTGACATGCAGAAAATAGCAGTTTCTAATCTAACTGCCCTCCAATGTCCTAAAGAAGATAAAGGAAAGGTAGATAACAACCACTTCCTTGAGAGAGAGAGAGAGCAATTACAACTGGACCATGTCCTTCCCCTTCAAATTCTGAGTTCTTCTGCATAGCACCTAACAGGAACCACTCAAACCAATCAGCTAACTGAGCCAATACTCTCTTTTGGAAAGTACCCCTTCTGATAAGACAGGTGAAATGTACAAGGCTGCCCAGGGGCCAAATGCAAGACTCCCATGTCTTTGAGCTGTTTTGGAAGTCATTGCAGGGACTTGAGATCTGGGGACTGTCTGTTAGTAAATTCTCCACTGTTTCCAGTAAGTACCACAATGGCTCACATACATTTGCAGAATTAACACCAATAGAAGTATTGGTCTCCGAACTGTTTATTAATTTTCAATGGGGAGATCAGCTCATCTATTAAACCCCATAGGGAATAAATCCCTGCCCCCTGAGAGGTCTGTCCTCTTGCTTTGCTCATTTCCTTTTCACCATCTGAACTCCCCCCACCGCCATCATTAATCAAAGTAATTGCTCCGAGAATCAGTCAGGAATGTTTTAAACATTAGAAGCGAAAAGTTGTCAGTACAAATTTGCCAGAAAGGCTAAAATATAGATCCATTCTGTCAAATTCTATGGGAAAGTTTGCTTTGGAGCTCTGGGAGCAAAATACAAATTTGCTCCCAATCTATCTTGTTTATTTTCAGCACATATGTACACGCACAGTGCTTCAGTTAAATGCTATTTTATCTCCCCGCCCCCATGTGCGTATCATTCAAAGTTTAAATCTATGCTGCTGGCTCATAGCCAACAAGGCAATCCAGCAATTGAGCCACTGTGGGACATGTTGAGCTGCTTTGCAATTTGTAAGTGTGACTTCTTTCTTCTCACTTCTAATCACACAGAAAGACAGGTCTACCCTTTTCATTCCTCTCACTTCTGATCACATTCAGAGGCATGTGCCTATTTCCCCACAATACAGTGATAGATTTATTTATTTTTACCAAGTGACATAATAAAAATGTTGCACAAAGGGATATATTTAATACTTGATATGAACTGCATTGGTAGCCTCAATGGAATCTTATGCCTTATGCCAGCAATAGGGGAAGTTCCAGGTGCTGTTGGCCTCCAACTCCCATCAGCCTCAGCCAGCATGGCCAATGACCTGGGATGATGGGACTTGTAGTCCAGTGACACCTGGGGGCCCCAGGTTCACCATCTCTGCCTTGTGCAGAGTCAGTCAGAGCATGAGTCCACCTGGCCCAGTTTCATCTGCACTGATTGACAGTGACTCTCCATGTTCTCTGGCAGGGGAGGGGGGCTCTTTCTTAGCATTGCTACCTGAGAT